CCACATAACACAATGTTAGCTATGTTGTTAATGCTGCTGAAGGGGACAGAAGATTAAATCAAATTGACAACTAGTACTGAATATTCAAAAATATATACCAAACTTGCTAATAAATTTTAATTAGCATTTTTGGAAGGATACAGCAACAAGGAGGTTAATGTACCTGCTGGCTATAGCAAATGAATTTGAAATTTTCAAACATTTTGCAGTTTCCAGGTGGCAACTACCTGGAAATTAAGTGTTCTAAGTGCTCACAGTAGGTTGTTAAGGAAAGATAAACATTTGCTATTTAGTAAGACATTTATCATAAAATGCTGGAAATGCATGAGGAACTGGAAACCAGGAGATATATTTGAACAGACAAATATTTGGGTAAATCAAGGAATTGCTAGCTAAAAGCATATAAATAGAGTCTTAAAAGCAGAAATAAGTCTATTCAATGGAGAGGATTTAAAAAATCAAATACATCAACGAATGGTCCTGATAGCTGAAAATATGAAAGTAGAGAAAAATGGCAAAAATTAAAAACGAGTAATCGTTGACTCTACTCTGATAATACACTAAATATTGCTCTTTTCTAGAAACTATTTGTGTTCCCAGCATTCCCAGGAAAAATCCTTGGTACAGAGCAGCAGTTCTTAAATAGAGATGTAAGGAATTCTGGGAAACCTATAAATTTATCCTTAAAGAAAGAGTGAAACACACAGAAATTTAGGCGAGGTTCCCAGTCAATAGCAAAAAGAAACAAAGGGACATTTACTTTTAAGTTCCTCGATGAAAGAGAAATATTCTAGGCCACGGGGGCCACTTGTCATTGATTCGACTTCGGCAGAATTCACCATGCACTCGGATTTGAGGTGCTGAAGCCTATACAGAGACATGATAGACGAGACTAAAGAAATCAGAATAAAGGGGTTCAAGAAGGATTTTCTCAAGTTCTGGGGGGTGAGGTTAAGCATGTAGAAATCAAGTGTCTCATTATGTGGTGTAATATGATTCTGATACCCACTTGAGATGAAATGGAAGTGTACATCACAGAAGGAGAGTCAGGACATAAACCTGTAAATCATTAACATGTCAGTGGTGCTTAAGTCTTTGGGAATTGAAGAGATCGCCTTAGGAAAAGCTGTCAAGAGAGGAAGAAAGGAAGGGTTCAATATTAGTTTAATAACAAAAGCAATACATAGTGCCTACATAGAGGGAGAGGAACAAGTAAAGGGTATTGACAGTATTGCTGCTGGACAGAGCTACACAACTACACCTTGAACCAACAGCAGTATAAGAGCAATCATTTGGCACAGACTTGGTAGGTAAATGAATAAAAGAGTTGCAGACTGCACTAGCCTGGCACTTCCAGAATTCAGAACTGACTAGGGAAGAAAGAAAATACATGCTACAACTATGTGAGCCCTAAAAAAGGATTCACCAAAATGATGCTGTAAATTTACCTGAGTTTTATTTTAATACAGCCCCAACAAAAAAATCAAGTCAGTTTTGTCATATTCTCAACTCTTTGATAAAACAACATTCAAGTTTAATAATGAAATGGATTACCGGACATAATCAATATAACCTTTATAAATTAGACTCAATTAATTTTAACTGTCTAGACAAACAGTTAAAGCCCTAGATATCCAAAAAGAAAGAAATATTACAGTAGTATACAAAATAATGACTCAAAATATTTCCACTGAAATGCAACAGAAAAGATATAAGCCATTATCTCTTGGAAAAGAAACATTCCTAATGAAGTAGATTTTTGAAAATTGTCACACAGGTAAGCTCATTAGATGCAATGAGAGTTTCCCCTGCTGATCTAGAAGTACCTAATGACCAGGATTTGTTATGTCTCAAAAATAAAAGTACTTTTTAATTCCTGTGATAGCTCACTGAGGAGATTTCAAATCTGGAAACTTTTAAATGATGATATATAAGATGTTTAATAAGAGCACTAAAACTCCTCAAAACAAACACAGACTTATTTCACCCAAAACATTACATTATCTTCCAAAATCTCATTCATTAATAGGGTAACATAATCATAAAAAATTATGTTCAACAATCACCCACACTATAAAAAAACTCAGTGATGGCTTTTCTACTTTAAATATAAAGTTCGCTACTTAAATATGAAATATCTGCTGACCAGACACACATGCCAGCTTCTGAGATGGAAACTAGAAATTCCCAAGGTCCCAGAATATCTCTCTGAAACACCAAAAAAACAAAAACAAAGAAACAGAAGAAGTAAACCAAGTTACAAATGCAAGTCCTTTTAAAAGTTAAATACTTTTAAGAAGCAAAATATAATATTTATATAGAATTTTAAATATAATCAATTGAGTCAACACAGATACTTCAACAACTTAAGTTGCATCAAAAACCGTTTTAAAAAACTCTACAAAAAAAAACTACATCTAAAGAGAAGTATGTTCCAGCTTACTGTTCAGTTTTAGAATTAGAATGAAAGATAATTAACTGGTCAGATTTACAAACTGTCATTATACAAAAATGCTTGCACTGATTAAATTCGTGTTAAAGTCCTTATTTATATAAGCTATTAACTTCAACCACCTTACTCCTATGGGGGAAAAAAAAAACTCCCTCTGTATTTCAAGGCACTTTGTACCACTTTTTCATGCACTACCCTGTCACTTATCAAACTTAACTTTCATCAAAAGCACTCATTTTCAATTGTTTTTTATTCCCTGTGCTCAAATATTACAAAATTTCAGAATTCTCATTTTTAGGAAATTGATTTCCCCCGAGTTAATAAACCAATCAGTTAAAAGCTATTTTAATACCATTGTTTTTTTGCTTTTGTTTTTGTTATGAGTTGGGGTCTCACTCTCTTGCCCAGGCTGGAGTGCAGTGGCACAATCATGGCTCACCACAGCCCCGATCTCCTGGGCTCAGGCGATCCTTCTGTCTCAGCCTCCTGAGTAGCTGGGACTACAGGTGCACACCATCATGCCCGGCTAATTTTTTTATTTTTTGTAGAGATGAAGTCTCACTGTGTTGCTCAGGCCAATCTTGAACTCCTGAAGTCAAGTAATCCTCTTGCCTCAGTCTCCCAAAGTGTTGAGATTATGGGCGTGAGCCACCATGCCTGGCCACTGAGTTATTTTTAATGTTTTCTCCCATTCAGTTCAATACTCTTTTTCCCTATCTCATGTGATTTAAAACAAGAAGATAATTTCAATTAATTTCTCTTCTTAAATTCCATTAAAACCTCTATAACTATACATATGAACAATATTCTTTTTTTGTTTTGAGTTGGAGTCTCACTCCATCGCTCAGGCTGGAATGCAGTGGCATGCTCAGAGTCACCCCAGCATCAACTTGCTGGACTCCAGTGAATCTTCTACCTCAGCTTTCCAAGTAGCTGGAACTACAGGTGCACACCACCAGGGCCAGCTAAGTTTTTTATTTATTGTAGAGACGAGGTCTCGTCAAGTTGCCCGGACTGGTCTTGAACCTGCGGATTCAGGCAATCCACTCATCTCGGCCTCCCCAAAGTGCTGGGATTACAGGCTGAGCCACCAAGCCCAGCCATGAACAATATTCTTATGAAGGACATTTTAAGGTAGGATGGGGCAAAGTAAGTACGTCAATATCACTAGAACATTAGGATTTAGTAGTGAAAAGTTAAGAAAAACACTTATTTTTGGCCTTAAAAGTCCAGACAGGCTGTATAAAATATATACTTCAAAGAAATGTACACCTCAGGACAAAGTTTAAAAAAAATCTCATTTAAGCATACTTTTTTGTCCATAAAGTGCTATAATCTCTATTTCATAGAAGAAGAGCAATTTAAAGGGAATGAAAAAAGTGGTTTTTTTTTAAAAGACGAAATATTCACTCTAATATGGAAAAAAATTAAAATATCCTTCTGGAAGTTGAGAAATTCCAGCATTAAAATAAGAGAGTATACAAATAATCTGACATTACTAATGATCAGTAGTAAACAAAAAAAAAATAGATACTCCAGCATTTCAGATGAACTGTCTTCCAAAATGTTTTTATAAATTGGTTGTTTGGAGTCAAATAATTTCCATAGAATCAATGTGAATTATAAGAGGAAAGTAGATTCTTAAGGTGTTCAAAAAATCATATTTAAATCACATTATTACCAAGTATTAATAATAGGTTCTCTCCTTTCTATGACCCTTTACAACCAGATCTAAGCCCACAGTGGGACTGAAGCCAGGTTAGAAACTTGGGCATTAGGAAGGGGTTGAGTTGAAACTCTGGCACTTTGGTGTCTACTATAGTGGACAAAGGAAGAAAACTCCATTTACAATGTGGACAGAGATAGATTTGGAATAAGCAGAAGGGGACACTGATCGCTGGTCCTAGACTCAGGGACATAATAGCCACTCAGTGCTTACAAATGGCACTGATTCAAGGGAGCATTGCCCAAGCCACAGTGGCAGTGTTAGCAGCAGAGGGTGGGGGCTCATAGGTACCCATAAGGTTCAAACTTCAAAACAATGGGTTTGAAAACATAAGGCTTCATTATCCAAGAAACAAATTAAACTCATAGCTCTCCAGTCATGACAATTCATAAAATAAATGTTCTATAACTGTTTCTGTATAAAAAAACAATGACCGGCCGGGCTCGGAGGCTCAGCCTGTAATCCCAGCACTTTGGGAGGCCGAGGTGAGTGGATTGCCTGAGCCTGAGGGTTCGAGATCCGCCTGGGCAACTTGACAAGACCTCATCTCTACAATAAATCAAAAATTAGCTGGGTGTGGTAGCGCATGCCTGTAGTTCCAGCTACTTGGAAGGCTGAGGCGGAAGGATCGCCGGAGCCCAGCAGTCGAGGCTGCAGTGGCTTAGAGCGGCCACTGCACTCCAGTCTGGGTGACAGAGTGAGACTCCAACTCAAAAAAAAAACAATGACCAAGTAGAAAATAGGTACAAATAAAAGGCATTATTATCCGTCTTTAAGAAGTGAAGACCAGGGCAATGAAATGTTTCTTATAAAAGCACAAACCTTTACTAGCTTTGTCTAAATGTTCCAAATCATCCACAAAACTCAGGATATCAGGGTACTTTTCTTCACATATTTCTGCCAAAAAGTGAAGTAGTGTTGTTTTCTGATCTACTGATTTCGTGTCCTTTAGCTAAAGAGAATGAGAGAGACAGAAAACAGTCATAAATATTATAATAGTCTGCACACTTGAATAATGTTTATACTGTTTTTTGTAGTTAAGAAATAAAAGAGTTTTAAAATTAGTTAATTCTATTTTTAAAAAACAAGCAAAATTATTAATATTTGTTATAAAAGGGAATAAACAATCCATTCTAACACACTATGTTTAATTGGGAAAAATATGGTAAAATGGCTAGGAAAATAGAGTAAGTGGAAAGTCTATATAAGAGTAGTATTTACGACAACCCTGGGGCATTTATCAATTCACAATTTGGCATGTACTCATAGAATGCCTACTAGATAATATAGTAGTTGGAGATGTAACAACAAATAAAAGTCTTTCCTCAAAAAGCTGTTTAGTTACAAAAATGAAAATATATATTTGCCCTGATATAACAAATAGTATAGTAAAAAACAATCACAAAATGCATCCAGGAGGACGTGCATGACATCAGAACCGAACCGTCAAAGAAACGAAGTTGTGTGGCGTTACAGAAGGGAAGGAGATCATTCCAAAGTATACACAGAGCCAATCTGGAACAGGTCGTAGATGACATAGGGTACACAGGTTAAAAGGCTGGAGGCTGCAGGTAAAAGGGAATGCGAGTCAGGACAGCAGAAAGCTAAACCTGAAAAGGCCAGAAAGCAGAAGGGCAGAGGCGCCATGCCATGGAAGTGGAGTTGTGACCCTGAAGCGAGGGACCTGTTTGAGAGATAATGAGGTTGACATTTTAGAACCCTCCCTCTAGCGTAGAGCAAGGGTAATGACAGAATCATGAAGAGCAATTGTAAAAGCTGCTACAATAGGTAATCCAGGCTGTGTCTTGGAAATGGGGATAAGGGAACCAATTGGGCCGGAAACCCAGGCGGAACTGTTAACAGACAAGGCCAGAGAGGGTGAGAAGCAGATTTGGTGGGTAGATAAAGAAGATTGTTTCAGCTTCAGACAAGGTGTGTCTGAAACTCTTAGGAAGTATCCAGGTGGAAATATCCTGAGAAAACATAGACCTATTTAGGTGTAGAGCAGCACTTTCATTATTTTGTCATGATTGTCACCCAAGGAGCTTCTTAGGCATTTTTTTCCTAATTGCACCTATGAAATTTCAAAACCACAAAGGTACTGCATTTATGTTTATAAACTGCATGCATATCTATATTTTACACCTAAACCAGGAAGAGATAAGACATCCATTTTTGTTCCCCACGAACCAACTTTTTATCCTTCAAAGGATACTTTTGAGAAAAATGGGTAAGACCTTAGAGGAATAAACTGATGGTAGGGAACCAATTTGTGAGTTCTTTGCTCCCAAAGTTATTTATTTTTATTTTTGTTTGTTTTTTGGTTTTTGTTTGTGAGTTGGAGTCTCACTCTGTCGCCCAGACTGGAGTGCAGTGGCCGCTCCCGGCCACCGCAGCCTCGACCTGCTGGGCTCCGGCAATCCTTCTGCCTCAGTCTTCTGAGTAGCTGGAAATACAGGTGCACGCTACCAGCCCGGCTAATTTTTTGATTTATTGTAGAGATGAGGTATCGCCAAGTTGCCCAGGCGGGTCACAAACCCGCGGGCTCAGGCAATCCACTCACCTCAGCCTCCCAAGGTGCGGGATTACAGGCTGAGCCACTGAGCCCGACTCCCAAAGTTATTTAGTTGACCAGATGAGCCTAAACAGGCATGTAGGATGAAAGAAAAGGAGACACAGGCTTGAGAAGATGATCAGGGTGGACTAATCACAATCTGAAATGGTCAAGAAATGCAATCAGAGATGGTTTGGCTAAAACCTGAGCAACGACAGGTGTTGGGTTGGGTTTTGTGTAATGATTGTGGGTAGGGAGTACTAGGCAGGCAAACTGGTATGAACACAGATAATTTGGTGGCATTCCCTACCATTTGATAATCATTATGAGCAGACACACAGACAACAGATTTTTAAAAATCACTCTTCTCTACCAGAATTAATTTAGAGCAAGAAATTCATGGCATACTTAACTGAGTACAGCCTTATTAACTTGTGTTTCCAACAATTTCCTACTTTAAAATAAGTTCCTAGATAAATAGTCATAACTAATATTTTCTAAAATTCCACAGCACTAAATATTAAAAATACTAAATAACTGTTAACATCTTGTACTGTAAGAATTAGAGATTTCTGTGCTATCACACATATTAATATACTATTTATTGATGTAAAAATTATCAGAACCCTAGAAACACTGTCCTATTCACCTTGAAAGCATCACCTTCACATGATTATGTATGTAATATGTTCAAATGCTATGCTAACCTACTCAACATAGAGCTCAAACAACGTTCCTGGCACTTTAAAAACAGACTGAGTATGAACATTTAATCCATTATTTGGTAACATGTTAAAAAAGAATATAAATTTCACAACACTGAGCAGACTGTTTTCAAAGAGTACACTTCAAAAATATGACTCTATTCCAACTAGCTAGACAAATTGCCATTAATAGTAACCTGGGAGACCTGGCAATGTTAAAGCATGCCTTGACTAATTAATAGCCTTGAGCAAGTTACTGGACCTTAGTTTTCACACAGGCAAAATAAGAAAATGGAACTGAACATAGAAAGGGAACTTCAAATTTACTTTCTATTCCAAAATACTAAGTATACATTACAGTAGTTGTAAGAGTTAGTAGACACAGTGAAATCTAATTTTAAAAAACTAGTATATTAAAATGAAGAAACATCAGTTCAGAATTATTTCTGAGTGCTTCGGTCAGCTGGAATCTTTCTATGGGATTCAGTTTTTTGTAAAGTCTGTTAAGCATTTTCCAGTAGAATTTGTGATGTAGCTAAACAACCAGCAACTGCCAGGATTAATATAATATATCAAGACATCTCTATGATAGAACAACAACCAACTGGATCAATCTTGATTGTTAATCATAAGCAACAAGAATTCAGACTTAGAACCCTGGAATGCCATGGAGTTTGTAGCACCTAACAATGTAATAAATGTTAAGTCCTCAAGTAAACACAGATCCAAGTTATTCAGAAACAGCTATAAAGGAACACTAACATAGGGAGAAAGGTGCTATCATGGACTGCCTTATCGAAAACATCAATTGCTGTGCAAGCAGCATATTGGTAAATCTAAGATTAAAAAGAATATTTGCTGAATAGTAAATGAAAGCACAATTCGTCCCTCATCCTCAAATCTGTATTTAACAACTGAGACTGAAAACATTGCTTAAACTTCCAAATAAATCGGAAGTTAAGCCTAATAAATGAGAGGTTCAGATAAGAAGCATTTTGTTGCCTCATTTACAAACTACTGCGCAGCTCTAAACTCCAGGGCAGAGATTCTTTATTAATGTTCTAACATCCTCAAGAAAAATTTCACAAAGCTGTCAAGGTATTCTTCCTGCCTCAGTTACTCTATTCTCTCCCTCCCTTCTCCCAAATCACTTTTTTAAAAAAAGTGAACCTTTCAAAAGCATGAAAGCACAAAATGGATTATATCTTTATCTTCTGGTTCAATATTTTAATGTGCTCAATAAACAATAACCACTAAGAAAGGCATATTCTATTTCTACTCATATCACAATGGCTCATACCTACTCATCTCATAATCAGTAATGGAGCTAGACCATGTAAAGTTTGGGAGATAGTGCTAATTCTGTTGACGACGAAGAGCAACTCAAGCTCACCTTGGAATGCTAAATCTTGGGGAAAAAATAAAACTAAAATATTTGCTTTAAAAATTTGGTCAGGTTAAAAATAGTTTTATTTAAATTTAAAGACATTGCATGACAGAATTCCTTTTGTGTTATTGTCAAGAGATTTATCTTACTGATGAATAATCATCACTATTAGATAGGATTTCTTATTTATGTATTGTTTCCTTAAGGTACATTTAATGTGGCATAAATGTCAAACAAACAAAAAGATGGATGGAGTTTCTCCAACCAGTCTGTTCATTCTAGACAAAATAATGTTAAAAGCAGATCTTGTAATAAATCATGGCGTTGTTGTCAGTCTGTAGTAAAACTCCCTTGTAGCAAGGTTTGGAATATTTTTGGAATATATTTTCAGCACAAATTTGGATAACATTTAAAGAATATTCCATAATTTTAGTCACACAGAAGAAAAATCTTTAAAATAATAATTTTTCTTGTTAATCCAAAAAAAACAAGAAGCCTTTTTAAATAATGAAACATATCTTTAAAATAATAATTTCTTCTTGTTAATCCAAAAATACCAAAAACCCTTTTTAAATAATGAAACTTATATCTTAAGAACGTTGTCAAATTAGGAAACCCCATCCCTATTATTATGTTCCTGTAATCTAAGTATATACCAAAACAGTATGGGCTTTTTTAGATGTTGTAGATAAAAATCATCTACTTAGTGAACAGAGACATGACAAAATTCTAAGAATCGTGTAAGGGTCCCATAAACATTCTAGAAAACCCCATTCTGTGAATGATGTTAATGTTGAGAATGACAACAGCAATTCTTGTTAGGCACTTACTATAAGACAGGGTCTAGCCAAATAATAGAATGTATGTTAAGTTCTTAAAACATACGTCATCCCTATGAGGAAGAAACTAGTATTATATCCTTAATTAAGAGAAGAAAATAGAAATTTAGAAAGATCATATAGCTTACATCGATCATATACCTACTATCCAGCAGAGGCAATATCTAAACCCATGTCTGCATGAATACAAAGCTCTTAGTCACTATAAAATATAGTTCCTCTTAAAAAACTTTTATTTAGTATAGCATATTATTACTAACCACAAAAAACAAAATTCTCACAAACACAGTGGACAAAAATGGTAGTAAGAAAACAAAGTTGGGTGCAGTGGCTCATGCCTATAATCCCACCACTTTAGGAGGCTGAGGCAGGAGGATTTCTTAGGTCCAGGAGTTTGAGACCAGTTTAGGCAACAGCACTACCTCATGTTTACAAAAACTTAAAACATTACCTGGATGTGGCCCCAGC